ATGTTGCCGGTGAGTGTTGTGCTTAAATCATCACCTCATGCATCGTGAGCTTGTTAACTGTGTATGTCAACCCTCTGTTTATGTAGTGTTACGTTAGCTATCTAGCTAATGTTAATATCAAGATATTGTTGTCATAGAAACAAAACCCACTTGCAGTGCATCATTATAAAAAGCGCTGGAAGTGTTTTTTTTATAAAGCACTGGGATGAAGCACTCCCCAGCGCCCTGCCACCGCTTTGCTGCTGAAGGAAAATGCTAGGTGGACACATGCCCTAATCGGACAAGCGGTAAAAACAATTAAACGAATTGTTTTTTTCTGTATCTGATGATTAAAGTAGCCAGTGGGTGAGCCTCCTCGCTTCCTTCTCACCTCCTTTGAGAGTTGCACATGTGCAGTACTGATTGGGCACTCAAGAGAAAATGGTGGCCGGTAAAGATACGAGCTGAAGCACATTTCAGTTATCTTGGAAACAGGAGTTTAGTTCAGTGGTGTTGGAGGATGTTGGTAAAACTCCAACTATGTACTTCGTAGTTTGTCGCAAGTTTGAGAACAATTGAACAGTTTGTTTAGGGGCAAGTAAAAATTGACTTTGGGCAAATAGCCACTAGCAAATGCCTGCCATCACCCAGTATTGTTCTGTATTTGCATTGAGAGCATCGCCATAGGGTGAGTGATGCAAGTAATTCTGGGACTCTGATTTTCCATTATATCCTTATTACTTTTCTTGCCAATATGAACATGAAATAGATCTTAAATTACATTCATCGTGTCCTTAAAAAGGTCTTTACAAGTCTTAAAATAACTTGTTGAAACCTGCAGAAACCCTGCCATTGTGATGGACAACATTATTTAAGATCAGTGTATAAAAATATATTTAAATGCATCTGAATCACAAGATGTTTATTTAAGAATGTTTTGCAGGGGTGATACACCTGCATAGGGTCATTTTAAAACATATTACATAGTCATGCATGTTTTTTTGTTTTTTTTAGGAATTTACTTCCTCCATTTTCCCTGAATATCCCTGTAGATGTCACTCTGTGGAGACATTTCTCTTTGGCTTTAGCCCAAAATTGCCTTTGACCCTGTCCCTATTGCGGTCCTCAGCCATTCATAATGGAACCCTGAAGTTTCTTATGAATGACATTCTTCTGGACTTTCCTGCTCTTTTCTCTACCTTCCACCACACTGCTGAGAATAATACCCGAACATCCTTGATCTTTTCACACAAGGCGGCAGACGCGAGGATTTTCCCGCAGTAAGAATCATTTAAGTGATCCCTTTGCCAATGGTAGGGGTTTTGGGGTTGAAGATTGGATTGAAGATTGGAGGTGGGGGGTGTCACAGTCAGATAATGACATTCCTGAGACCCAGAGATGGACTCTATATAAGCTGCTCAGGTTGAACTGGAAAGGTCTGTGTATGGGCCGGGCAGTTTGGGAAACCTAGATAGCTTTGCGTGAGATCTTTCGAGAGGTATGCTTCTGACATTATTGAGGCTACGTCCACAAGTAGTCCTTCAAACTGCAAACACGATTTTAGTCAGGAAGCGACATTCAGGCTTGTACATGCTTCAAATTTTAATTAAAGGATGTTAATTGAATCACTGAAAGCTTAAACAAGGTTCAGAGACTAATTGTAGAGTAGTATTTACGTGTTATACATTTTAAATTGTTATTCTGTGCCGTTAAATGGTATTTCTGTTATTTGATCTGATGATGCAGAGTTACTTCTGACGTCTACACTTGTAGCAGAGGCTGAATATTAAGCACTTGTGACTGCTCCATATTGCTTATGTTTCACTGCCAATTAGAGCTGCAACGATTAATCGATTAATTGTCTGCAATTAAATTAATCGCCAATTAATTAATAGTTTCCAGCTTTTTAAATGTGAATATTTGCTGTTTTTTTACTCCTCTATGACAGTAAACTGAATATATTTAGGGTTTGGGCAAAATAAGATATTTGAGGACATCATCTTTGGCATTTTTCACCATTTTCTGACATTTTATAGACCAAACAACTAATTGATTAATCCAGGAAATAGTTGACAGATTAATCGACAATGAAAACAGTCATTGCAGCCCTTCTGCTAATAATGTTTCATCTGAGTGGAAGTGAAACAAAGTCCTGTCAGGTGCACTAATTCCAAGAAAGACTGGTTGATCAGGACTGCATTGGTTGCTCTTAAAGCTGCTGCTGCTGCTGATTTTAGCACCAGCAAAGTTTATGCTGACCATTCTCATAAAACATTGTCAAGACAGATTTGTTGTTTGCAGCAAAAACACTTGTATAATTTCTTTATCCGTCTCTCTGTCTCAGTTTCCCTCTGTCCCTCCCCACACAACAATGCAATTTTAAGTAAGCATAAGCATTGAAAAATTTAAGGGGAAAGTGGAATCCACGTGAGATGGCCCTCCTTAAAAATGCACACAAAGAAATATCCAGTGTACAATGTCTCTGTTTTCTCATGCAGATGTAACAGGGGTGATGATAACAGAGGATTAAGAAAATAACAGTTATTGGATTTAAACATCTCGCAGCTCTGCGGTGTGAATATGACAGACTTAAACCGATAATCACCGCTGATGCTCGATGGATGGTATCGGACTAAATTCAGCTGAGGTAATTCCCTGCTGAAAGTGACTGTCATCATTCACTTTACAAACCGCCGCTATTTACGCAAAGTTACACAAACACACAGCTGGCTGACAGAGTGGCTTAAGCTGTTCTGAAAATAGCTGATGAGTTAAGCCACACAGGCTTCATACAATACTCGCCGTGACTCTTATTAACAACCTTGGCATTTGATAAGAGCACAGTGTTATGTCATAAGCTTCAGGTTCTTAGATATTGATATTCCTCGATGATTAAAGGTTAAAAGGTGAAACCAACACACAGCATTGAGTCCAAGAATAGATGTTTTTTTTTCCTTTTCAAACCACACAGAGAGGATGGCGTCAGATAATTGGACAGAGACACTGGGACCTGTAGATTATGAGCCGCAGTGCAGCTTTAAACTGTCATGAATACTCTTAAACTTTGATTTTTCGCATTTTGTACAAAGCTGCTGTTTCCCCAACATTCTTGCATTTCAAGAAGGCAATTTACTGCTCTGTCTCGCCTCTTCCAAACCCACCTCATTAGTTTGCTATGTCTTTCTACTACACCTCATCTTCGTCCACGCATATGTGCATATCACTGGAGTTATTTATGCTCTGTTTTTTCAACACCCCATCTTGTAAAAGCAGGGCTGCCAGGCATAAAGCAGTCAAAAGTGCTCTTCCCTCCAACCCGTCCCACCTTGGCTGGAGAATTTATGGCCAAGTCATCGCCCCTGAGACAGAAGCTGAGAGGAGAGAAGCTGTCTGGGCCCTTTGCTGAAACTCAGCACCCTCTTGTTTGACGCACCACCTCATTTTGTCTCCTTGTGGACATGTTCGACACCGCGGGGTGAAGCTACTGACAGCGCCGTTTGACACCCATTCCTCAGCACCTGCCCAGTCACCTGGAGCTACGGCTCTGCTTTTCATCTCCCCACCTTCCCAGTAACCCCTTCCCCAGCCTACACTTCAAAATTTGTTACCCAAATCAAAGGTGGAGCGCATTGTTGAGGTTCGAACATTATACCAGTGTCATGTAAGCTCCTTGAACAGAACAGCTGCAGGTAATTCACACAGAGAGAATCCCGGGCTCTTTGTCGCTGTTGTCTGATGGTTCTCGCTGAAGCCAGAAGTGGGTGTAAAGTCCTCTTTGCCATTAACACTTCAGCCCTGTGGCCTGTGTGCTTGGCAGCTGCCTGCTCTGTAAATGAAACCAGAAGATGCTCGTGGTTTGGACAGCACTATGGTGGGACCACATGCTAGTTGGGCTACTAAAAAGTGCAGTAGCTCTGACAAGTATTGTGTCGTGAGCCAAAAGAGCTTTGTCATACGCCTACGCAAATATCTCCAAAATAGAAGCTTTATGTTACAAAAGAAGACCAGGAGCTATGAGGTCAGCTGCATGTAGCTGAATTTGTAATGAGATAAACCTCTAAATTTCAGTTACTGGTGCCAACAGCGATCTTGGATAATTTAACAAAGACTAAAACCCTGCGGCACCTAAACATATTGTCTCCTGACAAATCCGTAGTGGAGGGGGTGAATTGTGCTACAATTGAAAAGCAAAATGATATGCTTAACTGTTTTTCAGAAAGAAAGAAATTAACTACAGCTGGTACCCCATGGCAAACCGCAAATTTGTAATATTTTAAAAATTGTGTACAGGTTTGTCAGTTGCAAGATTTTGTGTTCAATGCATGTCATACATCTACCCCCCCAAAAAAACCCCAATTCAGATTCAGTTCACGGCTTGTTTGGGGGCCGGCGGCCTGAATGTAGAACAGTGACGCACAATAGCAAACAAAACAAAATGATCCTATAAGTCATGATTGTTGCACTCCCTGAGGCACTCCTAAAATTATATGGTCACAGTTAAAGCCAGAAATTGATTATGGTTTAGAAAAAGAAGCCTTTGTTGAGTCTTCATGAGCAACATCAGTGTCATTGAGCGGTATCTAAAATTTATGTAATAATGAGTGATCTTACTGACTCACACTGTTGTGTGGAAATGCCTTGTAAGTCCTCACAGTGCTGCTGACAATTCATATCAACATGGCAACCACTCGCTTATGTATTTTCCCTTTAAATTCAAAAAAAGAAGTCCACATTTGTAACCATTCAGTGGTTCCCAAACTAAAAATTCAACCTCTTTGCATCACAACATACTCCAATATGATAAATGGACCTGAGTGTGGAGGGGAAAAGAACGGCGAGCCTTTTCCGTTACACTAGTATTTGAGGTTAAGATTCTTTGGACTGGGCCGGAGAACATTTTTCCACGCAGTCAACTGAAAGTGCACATTCTGCCCTCTCAGAAATGATCATTTGACCAAAAAGACTCTCTCTCTTTATGCGGCTATAGGGTCTGATGCTGAAACTGTGGATTTAGTACTCACCACCAGATGGGATAGCCTCCAAGCACCCGTGAGCTGGACAACCACACACACATCAAATATCCAATCAGATACAAATCCATGAGGTAAGCCTTGTAGTGTGTGAGAGGGTAAATGGATCAATACATAGAACTTCCAGCAGGCAATGAAGAAGAGTTTCCAGGAAGAGAAGCTTTGGGGCAGCTTGATTGTTGAATGAGGGGAAGATTAAAATGATATTGAAAAAAAAAATTCTTCCTCCTGTTTTCCCCCCTTCTTTGAGTCGGGCCAGGAAAGTGTGTCTGTCTCCTAGTAGTTAAGAGAATAAGTGTCTCTTACACACATGCACACACGCTCCTACCCGTCCTCTCCTTCCCTCCCTCTCTCTGAGGTTCTTCCCTAAGGTAGATATCTTTTTCTCTCTCTCTCGACTTTTTTCTCCCTCAGGATGCCTCATCCACAGGCCCAATATTAAAGGGGGGGAGAGGCGGGTGGAATGAGGTTTGGAGATGTCAGCTGGCAAGCCAATCACAGAAGATGGCCTTAGGTTACGAAAAAAAAAAAATTATTATTCGTTCCCATCTGTCAATCACACGCCACCCCCTGGTAATGTGGAAAAGAAAGGAAAGAGTGAAAAGAGGGAGGGAGGGAGGGAAATGAGAGAGGGAGGTATGGGGAGGGACACATGAAAAAAGGTAGTTACTCAACTTGTTTCATGTGTGATCATTAAAAAAAAAAAAGATTCCCCAAAGTGGCTGGAGGTAGGTGAAGGGATGTAGGCCAGCCTCGCCGGAGAAGACTCTGCGGTTCGGGGTTTACACCAGCTGACGTACATATTGACACATTGATTTTTAGGGGTTGTGCCCTGACTAATTGATCCGGATATACGTGCATACTGCGCACACACACTCACACGTCAACACATGCATAATCTCTGTCCCACTCACTGGGACATATACAGTGAATTTTCTAAATTGTTGTCCGCCCACCCCAACAGGGGAGGACATAAAAGGGAACACAATAAAGCCATAAACTGCGGTGGTGGCTGGGCCAGGCATGCAGGGGTTATATGCTTCAGCGGCCCAAAGGCGACACATTTTACATCAATACTATTGTCATTCTGATGGGCTGTGGGGCGAGCAGCCGTGGGACGGGGGGGAGGCGGAGGAGGAGGGAGAGGAGAGGGAGACAGATAGAGAGTGAAGGAGGAGGGTGGGACACTTGTGATGGACTTAGCCTGAAGTAACCACACATTTGATTCACACACACACACACACACACACACACACACACACACACACACAAGGAAACTGATCAGGACGAATACAAACAAGATACCAGCAGAGATCAAACACAGTCAGTTGTCGTGATAACAATCTAGTTAGGAGTTTTTTGTCTCAATGGATTATCAGCCATGGAAAGAATGACCACCAAAGACGTGACCGCTGCAGAAACCAGTAATGAAGGGGTTCATCAGTATTAAGTTCATACTTCACAGAACATAACTTTTTATGAAAACTGAGGCTCTGAAGTTTTCTAACTTCAGGATTACTCGAATGTACCGACCAGTTTGCTGCTAGATTTTTGCCTCATGCGCCTTAGAAACCGATGACGTCTGTGGCAGCGTGTTATTATAGAAGTCTGTGTCATACTCCTTTTATAGGACAATTCACTGTTTGTGACGTGATTAATAAGCACATAAAATATTTTATTTTGACATTCTTCCTCTGTGAACAACACCAGTAGTCCTTTTGGGGCACAGTTTTAAAATCAAGGTGTCTGCAGGTCCTTGAAAAGTCTTAAAATGTCTTCAGTTTCTATAAATGTTAGGTCTTAAAAGTCTTCTTAAATTTGAATATGTGAGATCTTAATCGCCACGGACATTGATCTTTTCATTTATCCATCTTTTAATTTCATTTTGTTAAAATGAGTTCTGATATTTAAAATCTTTAAATCTACCTATGGACCTAACACTTAACTTTACACTTGCACCTACCTGTTGGCAAAATGTAGATTAACTGATCTCACTTTAACCCTTTCAACTCTGGAATTGAAATGGTCCACCAGTGTGTGCATTGGTATTTTTGCTTATTGTGATGCCATTTCTTAGAGCATCGTGAAATGTTTCATATACCTAAAATCTGTACAACCAAAGCTTTAAGGTTATGTAAGTCAATTAACCTTAATAATTGATAAAAGTGGTGAAATTGTGTCATTACAAAATACAAAAAAAACAAATGATTTTATAAAATAAACACACAAAACATATTGATAAAAAAGATTTCTAAATGTAGAAACATAAATAAAACAACTCTTAACACTCCATAATCCATGTGAACTATGTACACGATTTAGTTTTTGATATATGCTCATTTTTATGAGCATTGTACAAAGACGTTTTGATAGATGCATGCATTCCTCTGGTGCAGCTGCGCATTTTTGTGCAGCTTTGCCCTGCTAATGACATCATCACGGGCATACAAGTGATGGCACAGAAGACATAAGCCTTAGTTTTCTGCTGCAAAAAGAATGAATGCTTTAGCTGTTATGGTTTTTATTTTAGATCAGTTTAAACAGGATCATGCAGCGATGGACGATTGCAGCTGTCTGTGAAACATCTGTTTTTAAAGGGTTAATAACCATACACCTGCATAACGCCTACATCTGTGGGAGACCACACATATGTGACTTACCTTTATACTTACATGCAATGCTTGAATAAGATGACATCCAAAAACCTTCTTAAATTTGGTTAAGAATAATCCTGAAAAAGGTCTTAAAAAGCATTAAAGGTAAGTATCTGATACCTGCAGACAGCTTGTAAATGTGATCTAACACTTATTAGATATACATTTTCAAGTAATAAGACCAGATGGGTCACCTGATAGATTTCACAACAGATTGAGAGTGTGGAGCCATGTGGAAGTTAGGCTGTGGAAGATCTGTTTCCAAGTAAGGAAGGTCACAATAAGTTCAATAACATAGTAGGAGATGTTTTATTGATTTCATCCTGATTTAATATTGTAGGAACAAAAAATGAATGAAAATATGAAATCTATCCCTGTAGAAATAAAACCAGGGATACTCAACTTTGTTTGCCTGTGGGCCACTTTTGCAGAATGACAGGAGGTTGGGGGCCAGTTAATAAACAAATAATAATATTAATCAGTATATATAAGAAATAATTTGACTGTTTTCATCCTGTTGACATTGGCTGTTAGGAGGGGTGTTTCCAGGATTTGAGGACATTAGCTCAGACCTCTGATTGGGGGGGGGTCCAGGAGCTCCTTCCTTGGCACTTTTTCTTTTTATAACCAGGCTCAATTTTGATGCTCTTTTTATGCACCCTGGCACCTTATTTACATTAAAGAAAACAGTCCCACCCTGCACACTGTCGAGTATTGCTGCCTTAAACAATTACAGAAATATACAATAGTTGCCTGCATTTGTTCAGGTCAGAGATTTGACTTAAATTTGCTACTCAAATGACAGGTGACTCAAATATCACACTTTTTAAATACAGAGTTTGTCATGGACATGCTATTCTTAACACAAATGTTGTCACTCTTCGGTGATTTTGAAGAACTAGCAGAAATTGAAATATAAAATATCTTAGCCTCTGCTGTGTGTTGCCTGGGGGTTGTGGACCTCCAGGGCATGAGTGAGCTCGGTGGTGGACTGAGGGGGCTGGAAGGTCGCTCAGCAGGGGCTGAGAGCGTGCACTCTGCAGAGAGGAGGCTGAGTGCCCACCGCAGGGAGAGAGCGCAGTGACCACAGTCTGGAGGTCAGTAGTGGAGCGCCCCCCTTCACCCGCCCCTTCTGTGTTTTATTCCTCCATAACAAAGAAGATAGGGAAACAGGCAGTGACTGAGCAGCACTCGACCTACCGCCCTGTTTGAGAGGAGGTGGGGGGGTTCCTCTGGGCCTCTAAATGTGACAATAATTGATAGATATCTTTGTGAAACGTGTATGAAGCCTGCTCTCCTGCCAGTCGTGGTGGGGAGTCTTCTGCATTATACCAATAAAGAAGACTTTTCAATGCCTCGAGTCAAGATGCGGTATGTCATAGTGGTGCTGACAATGAGGCAGGTCTGTTTTCAATCACGAACATTGTCATGTGTTACGGCATCGTCAGAAATGTGCCTAGCTCAGCTCTGGGATTTGGACGACAGTTGCTCTGCAGGAGCTATAGCCGGTGTGCAGGGCCAGGGGTGGATGGGGGGAATGTGACAGAGGTCTAATTTATGAGTGCAGGCAAAGGAATCAGTCTGCGGTCTGCATCTGAACAACATTGAAACCACGTTTCCCAGGTTGAGGCCACAAGTGCAATGTGAACTGTCTGGAAAGGCAGCAGCGATTAAGGTCAAGAACATTGGAGCCTGATCTTGAAATGAACTGTGACTCAACAACACTCAGTGGTGGTGTTTTGTACAAACCTCTGCAAAGGAAGGCCTCGGTCTGCGTGTCTGCATCAGTAGGTGCACAGGAGGGGGAGGCGCACACAGTGGTCCCCTACCGGGCCGGTTTCTACGGTGACCTGAGAAAGGCCGTAACCAGGTCCGGCTCTTTCTCAGGCCTAATCAGCGTATTACCACAAAGAAGGACATGTGTTCGGCCCCCCCACCTCTCTTCCCTCCCTACTCAATCCGACCAGCATGGCTGGACACAGGCAGCCAATAAAACCAGGATTAGGAGGGTATCTACACACACTGGGCTGTAGCGAAAAAGTTTCTGAACACGCCCAATCCCGCCCTGCTCCCTTCACAAACTTCTTTTCATTCTTCTCTGTCTCTCATTCCTTCCATCTTTCACTTTATTTCACTTGCTCCCATGTTTATATCCTTCCTTTGCCTCTTCCTTTCAGACGCCTCACCCTGTAAGCTCTGCACACAATGGGGCATCCAGAAATTACTCATTTTGCCGGAGCAGTTCAGCAAATTCCCAATGCCTCTTGCTCCCCTTTTATACTCTGGATCCTGTGCTTTTTTGCTGTTATGATAATGAAATGTGCTCCATCACAATGACAAAGCTATGCATGTGTTTAGCTGCGTATGTGGATTGGTGAATTTATGTGAATTGATGCTCCTTTACATATTTTTGCATGAACTCACGTATCTCCACATAATGCACTAAATGGAAATCAAATCCTCCAGATTTAATGACCACAGACCTCCATCTGTGAAACCACTGCCTGATAAATTGATACCAGATAATGATAATAATTAAGTCCCGGTGTGCAGTGTGTTCTGTCTGCACAGGAAGTGCATTCTGTTTACTGTCATGATTTGTCTGGAGAATTTTGGAAGTCCCGCGCTTCTCGGTGGCTGAGAGAGTGCTGGCTCACCTCACAGTCCTCGCTAATGTGTCCTGGAAATGGGAGAGTGTTAAGGATAATATCACTGCCTTTGTCAGGACTTTTTAAGACAGGGGACAAAGACGACAAGAACTCTTCCCCC